GAAGAGCCCAAAGAGGAGCAGCTGAAGCCTTGTGCCAACAGGAAACCCCAGGAGGATGAACTCTGTGATGGATGTCCGATTTTCCCCCATTTCCCTGTTAAAGAGACAACCACATAGCTCTGTGACACAATTATTTAAAACCATCTCCTTTATTTATTGTCTCATGAATTATGATGATGATGATGATGATGATGATAACTTGGGTGAAAATTTACAGAGCAAATTCACTTTCCATACAGCAGTTCACATACACTTTGTCTCATGACATTAACCACAATTTACCCCAATGCAACAGCTCCCCTCCCACTTGCTCCCAACAGTCACCTCCTCTTCCCTGTGTCCATCCCTCCATGCACCCCTGCCCCCTGAGCTGTCTCCCTGTGCATAAACAGCCCTTTCTCCCATGGTCTCATGAATTTTTAAGGCATGAAAAGTTAGTAAATTCTTTTAAGAACTCATTATAACAATTACATGAATTATAAATACTTAACTTTTGTAAAAAATTTAAGAATCTGTGGTGTAAACTCTTGATTTGACTTCAGTTTTACAGAAGTGAGTTATATCATGAGCAATTTGGTACCTAGAGCCAGTGATGCTATGATGGAAACACAAAACATATCAAATCAGAGTAGAAAGAAGACTCTCAAACTATGGATTGTTTCTAAGCTGCATGGGTCTAAATTAGTAAGAGACTATGAATGGTCCAAATAAACAGCCATGGAAGAACTCCAAAACTTCACATAGTCTTAGAAAGGAAAACAGATTGATGTCAGTACCAATCATGATTGGGTCAATCTCAGTATCTAAATCTTAACTGGGGGGCGGTCTCGTGTTATGACTATATGGCAGTGCAGGCAGGAGTTGGGAGCACCCTTTAAGACAGTGTTTTAGGTTAGGGACTAGGAAGGAAGCAACTCTGGCATTTCTGTCTGTGTCGCTAACTTCTTTTGGTTTATTCACCCACATACACGCACGTGCTGTGTGTGCATCTCTGAAACATTTACCTTACCTTGGAAAATGGGAACAAGCAATACTGGGCAATAGGACAATTGGTCAACTGAGTGATTCACAAAATTATGAACATACCCAAATAGTTTTTCTAGTTACTTAGCAACTCATATTGTTTAGAGCAGTTAGTGTTTCATCTTGCATCTAGAGGTTAAAAGCTGGGTCCCTGTGTGCACAGTGTAAGTGTGTTTATGTTCCCATATGCCCACAAGGATTTGCATGGTAGATAAGGTGGGGGCGTATGGACATGTATGTGAAAAGTATTTCAGGTATAATTCTCCTCATTCTACCTGCATAGTTCTCTTCTCAAAATTGGAACGTCTATGAATCAAGAGAGTAAAAGCCACAGCCTGGGATGAGAATATGAAAATAAGGCCCCTTGTTGTTGGTTCAACCCTTGATACTTGTAACACACTCTATACCTGAAAGCCAAAACACTGGCCAACCTCAGCCCCAAGAATTGATAGACTTTGGAAGTGGCTAATGGAAACAGTAATTGACAAACTCAGCAGTCACTTTCTCTGTCACTCACCAATGGCAGCAGCCTCAACAAATAGTAGACCAGATGCTTTGTCTGTGACTTATGCTAAATTAATGAATTGGGCTTTGTGACTTTGGGGCTTGGGTCATAGCTTCTTAAATGAAGAATGGAAATTCAACATGTTTTCCAGTGCAGGCATCGGTCACTGTCATTGCAAGCATGAAAGAACTGAAGGTTAGAATCTTCTCCAGGATTAAGGCAATGAAAGGTGGTGATTTGGGCCAGTTCCTGGCATAGGGGTCAACACAGATGTCAAGTGAGTGTTCCCAACTCATGAATATAAGAGAGAGACAGGATGTAGCCTAGAAATAAACTTGTGAAAGCAACATGCAACTATGCAGATAGCTGTCTGGAGGGAGAACATGTAACCAGAGAGTGTGTGGAGCCCCTACAGCTTCACTCAGGGTGCTCTGAGGAGAGAGATGGCCGAGGTTCCGTGTGAGCAACTGAGGCTTAGTGAACTGGACATGGTCAGCTTTATGGGGAACCCGGCCAGAGAAGGATCTCGGGAAGGGAGTGAAGTGTCGTTGTGGAGCATAGACAACCAACCCAAGGGACAGTGGCGGCAGCACATCTTTAAGGACGTTCAGGTCATGGGGAGCCGGAGCAGTTGGCCCAGGGTCCTAACGACCCAGAAGTTCTGTGTCTATAGTCTAGAAGGATGGCTTGGTGATCAGTGATCAGTGACCCTTCACCATGTGAGGTCTCTGGTTATGCTCCCCACCCCCTGCCTTGCTCTTATTCCACGCTCACCAATATACCATTAGGCAATAGCTGGTCTTTCCATGCAGGTATTTCTGCAAAGGAGTATGCTGATCAGCAAAGTTCTGGCCATTCCACACTGTAAAGAAATGAACAGGCAAGTTGGCTTGCTGACTGTCCTGCTGAGCTTGTAGATGGCATAGTGCCATTCCCAAACACAGTCCCCACAGCTGGATCTGAAAATGAAGAAGGACCCTGGAGTAAGTCATCGGCTTTGAAGTGAGGCTTGGGAGAAACTCCAGACCCCCTGAGAGCCATTGCAGATGGCAAGCCTGTGTTCTTTTAAGAAAAAATTGATGATCGGTCAAACCATCCAGGCGAAACACAGTTGAAGCAATATGTTAAACATTCCACACATGTCATCAAGGCTTAGTGGAATTTCAGACTACTGTTCCAAATGCATGCACCTGACAAACCTGCTAACTTTATTTTTTGAACACAGTGTGGGAAAATACATAACTGTGACACTCACTGCCATCGAGTTGGACCCGACTCATAGCAACCCCTCCTTGGGTTTTCAAGGCAGTATCACTACGGAAGTAGATTGCCCAACCTTCCTTCTGAGGAGTGAGTGGCTGGTGGGTGTGAACAGCCAGCCTTCTGGTCAGCAGTCAGATGCCTTAGGTGCTATGCCACCAGAGCTCACATAACTCTGAAAGATGCATTCAAATCCATCTACTTATCGAATATCTTTTTCCATTTCTCCTTTGTTTCCATCTGTATTGTTCAAGATAACGTAAAGGAAAAAAGAAACACAATGCAAAATATGGTTCTTTAAAGCTCAACTGAAAAACAGATGGAAAAGTTCTGAGAACATGAAGATTCCATCAGCACAGTTGCCCTATTTGTTTCAAACTTGATTTCATCTAATGCAGGGGGGTAGCCTTGTTTCATTTTTGTGTTGTTGGCTGACAAACAAATGGATAAATAGAAATAAATAAGCACACACCAAAATACTGATTTCCTTATATTATATATGATTTCTATTAAGATGTATTATAATGATGTTAAGTTCAGTCCATTCTTCCCAAAGAAAATATAAGTAGAGCAATACCAGAGAATTTAACCCTTGATGATCTGTATAGAAACAGAACATTTATCATTTGATAAGAACAACTGGAGAATTTGCAAAGCATTCAAACAATTGAATTTTGGAAATACTTCTCTTTTTTTCCTTCACTTTATTTGATGCTTAACTGACATATTTAATGCCAGTTAAAAACAACTGAAGGAACCCCAAACAGGTTATATTTCCTGGGGGCTAGGAGGGGTGATAGCTTGAGATAACTGGAAATGTAGCCCAGTTCCAAATGTAACTGTGAGGCATGATCGTGTGTGGTGATTTATATGTATTTACCACTATGAGTCAGAATCGACTGACGGCACACACAACAGCATATATGGACAACTTCAGAATATTACAAATGTCATATTGTTACCTGGTTAATGTGCAGCCAGGCAACTCTGACGTTCTACGTAGATGGCTAAGGGGGGAATCATTCCTTTGTATACTGGCATAGGATGAGATGAGACCTGTTTTAAAGCAGTAAATCTCAAAGTTTGATGTGTTGACACCTTCTTTTCTAAAAGGATGGGCATGGACCAAGCAGAATTCCTAAAATAGTCCTGTTGTCCATCCATGACTCAGCTAACATGCAGGGCTGTTTCCTTGCAAGCACCAGGAGAGAGCTGAAAACAAGTCCATTGTTATTCTGCACAGTTATGGGCCAAGACTCAACAAAATTGACTTACAGGCTGAGGGTTGAAAGGTGCATGATGTTCTGGGTGGAGGAAGTCCTGTGGACCATGGACAAGAGCCAAGAGCTCTCCAATACAGGGGGATCCTAATGGGTCATCTCTGTGGAGTGCTTCCTGTGAGCAGGTGCAGTGGACGCAGGTAGGGAAACAGGTGGATGGTTCTGGCCTCCATGAAGAGAGTAAGAGAGAGAGTAGGGTTCAGTAGAAAGGGCACCTTCCACATAGACATCCTACAGCATAGACATCCTACACCATAGACATCCTATACCATAGACATCCTACAACATGGATATCCTACACAATAGAAATCCTACAAGAAACTGGGAGGGATTATTGCTGAGCCCACCTGTCTCCTCCTTCCTCTGTACTCTCTCCACTCTCACCTCAAAGGCGTTCCTCTGGGCTGAGAGAATCTCACATGTACACACATGTTCAGAACATGTGAAAATAGAAGCCCAATACCACCTGCAACATGCTTAAGGACTAATACTTGTAAGACCTAGATTCAGTACCCACTTGCCTTCATACTCCACTGCAGCAAAGCTCTTCTCATAGGCTTAGTGTGTGAGCAGCATAGTGTGGCGCACTGGCCAAGAGTTAGTGGGCATTTTATAAAATAACCACCCTACGTCAATTTTCCTGACATAATA